ACAGTTTCATTTTTTCAAGCATTTATTGAATGCTTACTAAGTTCAAAGCTGTCAGCTGTATACAGAATATCTCAGTCTCTTATCTTTGAACCAAGAATGTCATGGTCCTTCAGATAGAGTGAAGTTCACCAGGAAAATTAGTACCACATATGAATGAACCAACCACATAGCTTGGGGTGGTGGTGCAGGTTCCAGTGGATTCTATCCAAAGCCCCATTGCTTTGGACTCCAGCAGTTGTGCTCTTCGCTTATATTAAAAAAATGTGTAGAAGAATTGGTACAGGTTTCTTTATATTCTCCATATCTCATCAACTGAGATTTTTAGGACTAACTGGCTTGGAGGGGGAGCTCTGATGGTGCAGTCCCCAGGGAATCGTGCTGCTAACCTCTTAAATATTCTAGCTTTTCTCTGGAAGAAGCTGGGACATTTTCTCCCTCATGATTTATAGTCTTGAAAATCCAATGGAGGGTCAGCAATGAGTCAGTTGCCAATTGACAATTATAGAGGGAGTGAATAGCTTAGATAGATTTAAAATCTAAAAGTTTTGACACCCTGATTGCAAACTTTATTTGGAATTCAAACCTTGATGGTAAAAAGTAAAATCCTAAAGACTCTGGAGGCATTTTTTTTGTTGTTGTTGTTCTTCGGGGCAGGAGCCCGAATGTCCATTTTCAAAGTTTCTTCCCGAGACAAGTGTCATATGCCATGAGCAGTTCTCATAAATTTTCATTATCTGTATTTTACTTCAAAGTATTAAATATATCACTTACTCACTCATTGCTGTGCTGCTGGAACCAACTCATAACCTAAAGCAGGTTTTCAAAGGCAGAAAATCACAGGGGAGGAGAATGCCCATCTTTCTCCCTTAGAGCAGTTGATGGGTTTGAACCATGTGCTTTTGGGTTGTCAGTGCAACTTCTTACCCACTAGGTCACCAGACTCCCTGTTTAATACATTATTATGTTTAATACATTATTATTGTTGTTATGTACCGTCAAGTCAGAACCAATCTATAGTTGGCCATCCAGTAAGTTTTCAGAGGCAGTAAATCTCACAGAAAGAAACACCTTTTTTCTCTCTTGGAGCAGCTAGTGGATTTGAACCTTGCACCTTCAGGATGGCAGTGCAGATTCTTACCACCAGCTCTGGGCCACCAGAGCTCCTTGAGTAAATATATAGTCTCTTAAAATAATTTGAGCATGACAAGTTCTTTTTTTTTCCCTCCACAAAGCTTGGCTGCATAATTACACATTAAAACAATTTAGGGGAGATAATGATCTTTCAGCCTCTTCAAGATCTCTTACCGATACAGTGGAAGATCTACAACTGAAATGCTGCATTTTCTTGAGTGTTCAAAAAGAAATTACTTGGATTATTTTTCCTTACTGCTGCATTAGAAGAAATAAAAATGCTCATTTCTCTGAGGAGAGCAGACATGAATTAAATACCTTTTACTCCATATTCCTAAAAGACAAAGCTGCCATTGCAAGATTCCCAGTATTTTCTGTCACCTTGAAATTTATCCACTTTTTAATCTCAAGGCATTTTTTAATGGTACATACATGGTTTAAAATGATTCTTCCCTGAGGCTTCCCATCAGCTTTTTCTTCCCAAAATTGTTCCTTAAACTATACATGACTTAAGATGTGTTTTTAACAAGTTAGGTGAAAATCGCCTTTGTGCTCCATGTTGACAGAGCAATCACTTTGCAGTAGTGCTGTCAGCGTGAGGGCATAAGCGCCAAAGCGCCAAGTTCCCGGCTGTAAATCCTTTGTGTTTCCGGTTATCAATGAGGAAATTGCCCTATGACAGCTACAGCGCAGAAGCGTTAACAATTTTTTCTTTTCAACCTGCACTTCCAATCTTTTCCACTTATTTTCCTTAGTAAGACTTAGCCACAAAAGTCTCACTTCCTATAGTAATGATTTATATATGCTGTAATTAAAGGAAATTTATTCCAACCAACCATGACAAAGGTTGCCACCAGCTTTGAAGGCAAAACTGGCTCACTGATTTAGCAAAAGGTGCTTTGATATCTGCCCTGTGTCACCTTCTCCAACCCTCCGCACCGCCCCTTCCAACCCCCCACATCCATTTGAACAAGTTACTTTAAGATTGTGTGATGTGTGCTTTCTGGCGGCTGCATTACAGGCTTGGGCTTCTCAACCATGGAAACACAGTTAGAAATTGTTCTCAGAGCTAAACCACTTAACATCTTGGCACTTGGTTGTTTTTAACTTTTCAACAATAGGCACTGTTCACTCCCCTCCATCTCAGCTCTTTATTCAGGAATCAGGCAGGGCACTGATGAAAGGCTAGTCACGGCTTCGCCCCATGGTATCAGTGTGGTGGCATGTGATGATTCACATGGGGTGTGTTTGATCCCAGAAAGCCCAGTCTCTGCTTATTCTTCCTTTGTTCTGTCATCTGGAGAAAAAAGGGGAGAGAAAGAGAGAGAGAGTGTGTGTTGAGCTGATTTTTTACACTGACCCAGTGCTGATTAGCACAACTGTTTGGGGTTAATATTTCCCAAGCTCTTAAAGTCTGTCTGGCATCATATAGGTTTGGTTTTATTTTTTTTAAGGGAAAATATTTTTTTAAGTGAATTTCCACAAACGGGGGGGGGGTAAGAGCAGCCCTCTCTGCGGTTAGGAAATGGGGAACCGTGATTCTTTTAAAGTCGAGCTTGCTTGTCACGTAATCCTCACCACCTCCTAGTCATTTTAACAACTATCACAGTGTTGATAGTATTTTTAACAATGCTAACACTTCCATATTATAAAGGGGTTGATTATAGCATTGAAGTGACAGATATGAATTGTGATTTACCTTTCTAATGAGTTTAGTAATTGCTAGGATGCCAGAAAAAATGTGATTCTCTCTCGAAAGGCACACAAAGGTTCTTGCAGTTGGGCAGGCTCTCCTTCCATCCCCCTTCTGTGGAAGATGTGCCTCACAGCAGTGGGAGGTGGGGTAAGGAGAAGCCTCGCTTGTGGATATGTTGGGATTATGGCACAATGTGGGGTTGCTTTACTAAAGCTGCTACTGTTTCATCCATGGCATGTCAACTGGGAGATGGCCCTCAGTGGGTACCAATTTCACTCACCAGAGTCCTGGACCTCCACACACCCCGGTGGTGAGTACTTCCACCCCCTGCCCGGCTCCATCTCTGAGAGCACTGACCTGCTCCTTGAGCTCTGCCAGCTGACCGGACAGCTGTTTGACCAGACTCATAGTCGATTCCAGTTTCTCCTGCAGGTTCCGAATCTCATTTTGCTCACTGTCACCTTCATTGCTAACAAGGGACATGGCTCGCATCCGAGGAAACCAGTCCAGATTCTTCTCCTAATAAGCAAATGTGAGGAACCAGGTGGTCAGTGTGGAAGTGAGCCTGAGATTTCATAAAGAATGGAATATAATTCTTCATCATTACTATTATGGTTTAAATAGAAGTCTCCTACTACTCAACTTTAGAAGTACTCTCTCTGGCTAGGTGTGAGAAGGGGATAGGGTGAGATGATAGTGTGATATGGACGAGGGAAAGGTCTCAAATATTGGCACACACTACTCAGGGGCTCCCTGGGAGGTCCTGGACGAAGCATTTAGGGCAGCGCCATGAGCCCCGCCGGCACTCAGCAGATCCTGATGAATGATGCAGGGTCTGGAGGTGGAGAGAGCGGATCCAAGTGTGTGTGGGTACAGCTCAGGCATGAGCTGTTTGTCCTCCACCCCTGGCACCGAAGAGAAGAGAAAGGGGTGTTGGGATGGAAGGGTGGTAAAAGAAATGTGTCCGCTCCAGCCACCCACGCAAGTTCACCTCCCACTTCCTCAATCCTGGCTCCTGAGCAGCTTGGTCTCTGAGCTCGCTCAGGGAAAAGGGAAGTGGGAGGGCATGGCCCCAGGTTACTCTGTCTTCTCCCTTTGGAAATGTTTTATTACAGTGGGGGTGAGACTTCTCCAGAGGGCAGGAGCTGGTACCACTTCTGTTTTTCTAGGGGGAGTGGGTGTAGGTATGTGAGTGTTTTTTTGCACTTTGTGTGAGTTCATGCACGCGTAGGCCTGTGTTTCCCCTTTACTGCCACAGTGACAGTTGGTTACCCAGATTCCCAGCCCTCTGGAAAACCCTGCCAGGTTACCTAACAACATAGTCACTGCACTACTTTTCTTAATCTGTAAGAAAGCACCATAAATGAAATCAGATGAGTCCCCATTTTACAGATAAGGAAATAAAGGTTCTAGCAGTTTAACTGCCAACATCAGAAATCTCGTAAATGATAGAGCTGTGGGATACTGGAAGTCAGTCAATCTTTCCCACCCACCATGATTCTATCCATTTACATCTGTCTATCTTTTCTAAGCCACCTTCTCTCAGCATGAATTGTGGTGACCTTCTTGCTTATCGCTCTTCTTACTCCAGAAGGGGCCTCTGAAGTGGTTACTACTACCTCTGCCAACGTGATCCACAGAGAGCTTTCCTTCCCTATATTCTGTGGAAATTCTCAACCTATGTTGTCTCGGGGTTTCAATTTCAGTCTCACTTCTTGATATTGCCAGTCAAGGAATAACAAAGAAGCTCTTTCGGGGTCCTTGTGATGGGTAATTTTATGTGCCAACTTCACTAGGCTATGTTTGGCTAAACAGTAGTCTAGCTGTTGCCACATGATCTCAATCAGTTGCTTCAGGGAGAGCAGATTAGCTTCCACAATGTAACGAAATATGATGCAGTCTATCTATCAAGGAGCTGAGGTCAGACCAGCCTAGGGGTGGATCCTACACCTCATCTCTCATGAGTTACAGGAACACCACCGAGACATACACAAGAGAAGTCTGTAAGAGGATTATCTACAAGCAAAGTAACTCCTAAAATCATGGGGAGGCACCAGGAAATCGGAGAGAAGCTCAGAGAAGGAATTGATAGGGCTGAGATCCTGATTTGGTCTTTTGGAGGACAAAACTGTGAGGAACTAAAATACTGTTCTTGAAAGCCACTCATTTTTGGTGTATGTGTTATAAGGGGACTAGAAATTGGGATACTTCCCAAACCCAGTGGTAGTGAAAGGGTTGATGAAAGATGAAAAAGAAAAGAAGAAAAAAAACAACACTGAAACATTTTGAGCTGCACTTAAACAGCTGTAGCTAATTAGCATTTCAAAGGAGTGCAGTGACTTAAGCTGACTCGCAGAGTGACAGCTGGAGTCATTCATTCACTCATCTCTCCACATCCACTGCCAGGTATTCAGGCATGCAGAATATGCTAAGACAGGTGTCTGTGCTCAAGGAGCTTGTGGCTGAGGACCAGTTGTTGTTAAATGGATTATGACTTAAGGTGCCCCAAGTGTATCACAGTAGAACTTGCTCCATAGAGTGTTCAATGGCTGATTTTTTGGGAAGAAGACAAGTCTTTTTTTTTTTAAGGTACCTCTGGGTAGATTTGAACTTCCAACCATTTGTTTAGCACCCACACATGTTAACCACTTGCCTTCTTCAGGGTTTAGTACTCCTCAAAGGCAGCATGTACACTGTGCATATTCAAATCTCTAGGGTCTGCTCATTAAAAGGGAAGATTCCATCTACCTGGCTCTTATCAAACTAGAACCTCTTAGAGGACAGGAGTGACTTATAGACACTAAGATTTAAGAACTCTGGTATAGGAAGCCCAATACATACATAATTAAAACAGGAGAGGGAGATAAAGCAAGGAAGAAGAGCTGGAACAGGTGTTGTGTGGAAAGGGTAGAAGTCAAGTAGGAACGCAGTAAATATTTGTGGGACATATATTCTTGTTAAGCACCATTGAGTCAGAACTGACCCTCCAGCAGGTTTAGAGAGGCAGTAAATAACATGAGAGGAGATTGTCTTTCTCCTGAGAAGCTTTGAACCACAAACCTTTGGGTTAGCAGTGCAACTCCTTACCACAGTATGGATGGCTCTAACGAATGGCAGGCCATGTCTTGCAAGGGTACCAGCAAAGATGTGTCTTTACTGGGTAGACAGACAAATACAAGTAAGACATTCTAAAGTGTAAGGAAGTCAGAAATATCAGCAAAACAGCATTTGAAGTGATGAACTTAAACATGTGGAATGGTAGGGAGAATGGAAAATAGAGTGTGGTGTTGGAGGGGAGCACTGAATATCCCATGGGCTGATATGTCTTAGAGAAGATGAAGTCAGAGTGCTCTTTGGAGGCAAGGATGGTGAAGCTTCATCTCACCTACTTTGGGCACGTTGTGGGAGAGACTATTCCTTGGAGAAGCACGTCATGCTTGGAAAAGTGAAGGCACAGTGAAGGAGAGGAAGACCTTCAACTAGGTGGACTGACACAGTGACTACAGCAATGGGCTGCTGTCTGTGAGAGACATTGTGAGGTTAGCACGGGACAGGATGGGGATAGGGTTCAGATCTGTTGTTCAGGGTCACTATGAGTCATGCTTGACTTTATGGCACTTAAGAATAACAACACACTTAGGAGGAGTAAGTCTACCTAGAGCTACCTCAGCAGAAAGGCCTGAGTATCTACTTTCAAAAAACCACCATTGAAAACTCTGGAACACAATTTTTCTTTGACACACATGGTTCACAACAAGTTGAGATCCATTTGATAGCAACCGGTAGGTACTAGTCCTAGGTCACAAGTTTACTGAACGCAGACCCTTGTCTTACAAGACTTTCCATTCATGAATACGGAATAGATTTTTAGATGATTAGATAACTGGATCCAAGTATCATTCTGCAAGTCAGAGTAAGCAAGTTTTCCTTCCATAAGTCTATGAATTTAAGTCGTATTATCTGAATATTGCAAATAAACTGAGGCTAACAAGTAATTTAACTGGGATCTCATCTTTGATTTGTTTGCCCTGAGGTCTGGTGTCAAGACAAGAGTCTGGGGACAGAAACTAAAATATTGAAATTTAAAATTCTGAAGGTGAAATAGATCTGAAAAAGAAAAGTTTCAGGGTATGGCCATGGGCTGGAGGCTTAAACCTAGTAGAAATAAATGTGGCTGAATAAGTGAGAATTGTCCACAATGCTCCTGAAGTTGTCCTGAAAGGAGTCAGCATTTGAGATGTGTGGGAAGATGATGGATGAAGAGTCCTAATTTTTGATAAAAAGTGCAATGATGGAAAGGGCTTGAAGTAGGCAATTTCCTGTGAGAATGAAGATATTTGGTAACAATAAAGAATCAAGATCCTGTTTAAGTTCTTGGATCCTTAATATAGGGTGGGGGAGGTGGAGTAGGGAAAAAAAGGCAAGTCCATCACAGAATTGGAGGCGAGGATTCTGAAGATTCATTCATCTGACGTACTTTGGACATGTTGCAAGGAGAGACTAGTCCTTGGAGAGGGACATCATGTTTGGGAAGGTGGAGAGACAGTGCAGGAGAGGAAGACCCTCTGTGAGGTGGATTGATTCAGTGACTGGGGTAATTGGGATGCGTGTGTCAGACAGTGAGGTTGGCACAGGATAGAGCAGGGTTAGGGCTGTTGTGCATAGGATTGCTATGAGTTGCAAGTGACTCGATAGCACATAACAGCAACATCACAGAATTAAAATAGGAGAGTAAATTCTCTACAGGAGAGAAGGTGACCTATAACAGAACAGGATTCCAGGGGGGATTACTGGAATAGGTTAGGAACCCAGGATTCCTGGGATGAGAAGGCACGAGACATGATGATATCCAACACAAGGAATGGGGAGATTGTTAATTTGTGACACATTTTCCAAAGAAGCAGTGGCAAAACACTGTTCCACTACTTTGCAGGTCACCAAAAAAGGTATGGGTGAGTGTTTGTGAAAGGGCCTCCTAAATAATGCCATTTCACGTGTGCACCCATCCATGGTTTCTCACTTTTGAGGAAACTGCAGTATCCTGTGAATCATCATCCAAATTATTTGACATGAAGGACTCTCCATGCCTACAATCCCTTTCTTCATTTCATCCCTTTCTGTTGTTCATCCATTCATTTAATGAGCAAAATCTGGTAAGACTAGTGGAAAAAAGCTGTGCTTCAATCCCAAAGGCACATGGTTTGAGCCCACCAGCTGCTTGCTCTGCGGGAGAAGGATGGGCAATCTCCTCCGGTGTGACTCTACTGTCTCTGAAAACCCACTGGAAGGTCAGCTATGAGTTGGTTCCGACTTGATGGTGTACAACAACAGTGAGCAAAAACAAGCACAATTCATGTGCTCTTAGAATTTACAGTCTAGGTGAAAGTGAGTCTTTAATCAAATGATGAAAAATAAAAACAAATTGTAGTTAGGTGCCAGACAGAAAAGTTACAGGCTTAATCTTCTTAGTCCTTAAACACTAGTCTCCTCTGACAACCAAGCAGATATATGCACACCCA